TTATTATTATTATTATTATTGTTATTATTATTATTATTATTATTATTATTATTATTATTCGTGAGTACCAAAATAACCATCATAAAGTGTTTGTTCACAAGTCTATGTGGTTATGTGTAATAGATCAGCCACGAATTTTGTATCCGTTCTTAACGGCCTGCAGTGTGTGCACTATACGTATAGATACAAAGCATTAAAATTGTTTTCAGCTTAATTTGTGTTAATGAAATGGTGAATATTATTTGACAGAGTGACTTACTTCATAGTTGATTGAATCATAGGTGTTTATGCGATTGATTGAAATATTATACCTGTTGATGAGGACGCTTATTTGCAGAAGACGGTGGGAAAAGCATGAAAAAAGGAGGAAGGAATTGTTGTGAGAGATGGATAATTCTGAGAAGAGGGAGGAAGGATCCTGTTAATTTGTTGAACTGAATGAGTGATTGAGGTGTCTTATGTGATTTAGACAGATGTAATTGGGAATTTTGAACTTGATCAATCGCTTGGCTGGGCTGGGCTACTGTAGTGTTATAGTGGATTAATAACCGATAAGTTTTAGAATGGAGGAGGTGGAAGGCAATTGTGATGCTGCAGGTTGAGTTATTTATTCATTTGTCAATGTCCTTATCACTGCTGAACCGTCGAGTTATCGGGCTGGCTGTTCAACCAACCGATCGAATGTTTGATCACACGTGTTAGAAAAGAGAGAAGAGTGAAATTAATCATACTGCTTTATTATTAGGGCTGGACGCATCGAAAGAATGATTTGATAACGATGGAATATTTGTCGAGCACTGGACTGTTACTTTGCTAGTTTACCGCTTGATGAATGCATATTTGCAATGTTAGATATTTGAGCAGTAGTTCAAACAGCAACAGCAGTACCATTTGTCCTCACACACTCAACCTCGTATGAACAAATCATCAACCATTCGTCATGCTTATTATCATTATCAGTAATTAAATGATCATCAAACAGCGCTGTTGGTGACATATTCAAGGTTTGCCTCCGGAACTTGGCCCCCAGAAGGTTTGCCCTCGGTAGTTTCGCTTCCAAGAGGTTCACCCCCGGGTAATACCCCCTCTGGAGGTTTCGTCCCACATTTCGTTTCCGTAGACATTTCGCCGTCTAATATTTCACTTTACAAAATGATTGCCATCCAGCATCTTGGACTGGGCTATACTAATAGTTGGCTATCATATCTTGGCTGCATACAAAATCATTCGAATTTTGTGTGTCGTCACGTTTCTCTCGTAAACTTTTCGTAGCAAGTAAATGTCATTAACTTGTTCATGCACTGATTGAATAAGCTGCTTGGCTGTAATATCTGCTTGGCTATAATTTAAAACAAGTTACTTTCCAAAAGAAAAAAAAATTGTATTTTTCAATGCCACTTCTTGCATATAAGCTGAAGCCACATTCAAATATTGTTTGATGAATTTTGTATATGCATGTACAAATGCATAATATAAGAACCAATGGTAAATGTGAAATGTTTCGGGGACGAATTTGCTGGGGGTGAAACTTCCTGTGCGAACTGTTGGAAAGAAAAGTTCGATAAACCGCTGTATCACTTAATCACTCTGAAACATTTATTTAATCAGTCAATCAATCAATCAATCACTGAATGAATGAATCGCTGCTGTCGTCTACCAATACCATTATAATCAGTTTTTGAATGACCCATCGTTATTTTCAATAGCTGAATGACATTTGCAGTATGATTTGACACATAGTCCTTATAAGTATCACATTACAATGAATTGTGTCACGCAGAAGTAAAACAGTACAGTGTAATGTACAACAGTTTTGCTGATTGATGTTGAAGATTACCAGCTTGATGCTTATCATTATCATATCCTCTATTCATATTATTGCCGAATGTGTTTCATTTTTAAACAGTTCTATTTTATTGGATTTATTGCTTTTATCGCGTTCGCTTCGTTCCGTTTGATCTTGATTCAATTGATTCTGTCGATTGCTTCGCCTCCCATTGGTTCACCGCCTACTCTGCTGCCTTGCCTCGCCTCTCGATCAAATTATTATCTATCTGATCGTTGGATGGATCGATCTCATTTGATCAATCAATCAGGCAGTCAGTGAATTGCCCTGATAACAAGTTTAGATTTAGTCATTCAGTTTACGGGTGGTGATAACGGAGGGCGAACAAGAGAAACGAGGAGAGACGAGTTATTATTATGATTATTATTATTGTTATTATTATAATTATCATTAATATTAATATTACTGTTATTAACACTAATAATAATCATTACCATTATTATGATTAGTACCATTATTGATGCTATTTAGTAGTTGGCGTTGTTACCGCTCATTTTGTTTGTTCGTTCGTTCATTCATGCTTCTGTTGTTCTACGTTTTATCCTCGTCGATGCTTGCTTGCTTCTCATCCCGTTCGGTCCTCGTCTCGTGTTTGACTTGATTAATTTTGAATGAATTTTCTCTCTGCACTCGTTCTATCTTCTTTGTATTTCCATTCATTCATTCAATCACTTATTGATTCCTCTATACCTTCTATCTTATTTCATTCATTTTCCGTTTTCAGTACCTCTAATCATCACCACTATTATCATCATCATTATCATCACATGTCCTCTTTTTATTATATTCAGTTGTGCTTGTGCCTATTCCGCTGATATTTCATGATATTCCTTTTTTTCTCCTCTTGCTTGCTTCCAACCATTCATCCATTCATCCATCCATTTATGCAACCAATCATTTCAGCACCACCACCAGCAACAGCAACATCAATCCTAATCATCATCTCCGTCAGTTGATCAGTCTACCTATCAACCTTTCAATCTGTCTATCTTGATATCTCCAATTTCCTATCTATCAATATATCTATTTATTATTGATGCATTGACTCGTCTCTTCCACACTACATTTCGTATTATTCCTCTCGATTAATTCCATTTTGATTCATTCGATTTTATTTGATTTCGATACGATTTTATTCGATTTGAGTTGATTCTTTCCTCGTGTTCCCTTCCACCCTTGTCATGCAGCACCGTTCTTCACTCATCATTTTATTCCATCCATCCGTCTATTTTATATTTCTATCTCGGTGACTCTATCAATCTTTCGTCTTTTGCTATTCTCGTTGCTAGTTTTTCGGCTGCCTCCTCTCAGTGACTCTTATTGTATGAGCAGAGCGGTGGTCGTAGTTATCATATCTTTATATCAATAATACTAGTGATAATGATAATGACACAACAGTGATCATAATAATAATGATAATAATACAATAATAATAACAATAATAATAATACTAATAGACATTACACTGCTACTGGTATTTGCTGCTTGCTGCGCTTGACTCTTGTGTTGCGTTCGCCTCCCCTCCCTCCCCTCAGTGCCGTGCCCTGCGATGCCCTCCCATCGCCTCCTCGTGCTTCGGTATTATTGGTATTTGATATTGCTCGTCGTTCTTCCCTCCCCTTGCACATCATTTCTCGTCTCATCACCATCCAAACTGAATCAAATCAAATCATTTTCATTATCATCGCATCGTCATTACCAGCAGTAGTAGCTGATGCGATCGTATCCTATTGAATCGTTTTCAGTTCATTCATTCTTTTATTCATTCATTTATTTATTCATTCATTCCTTCATTCCTTCATCCATCCATCCATCCATCCATCCATCCATCCATCCATCCATCCATCCATCACCTTTTGTACCCGATTCTCATTACGATTGTCACCACCATAACGATTTGCACAGTTGTTTTTTCCAATAAATGAAAGCTCATGATTAAATAATCTTATTATCAAAACAAATCGAATTAGATCAAATAAAGTACTCGTATTCAATCAGATTTTCGAATCAAATCAACTTGAATCATCCAAATATATCGAGTTATTTGATAAAACAATCATGCATGGTATCTGTTTGTTTATTTGTCTATAACCTTGTTATGATTTACTGGCCAGTTTTATTTATTCATTTTTTCGCTTGTCTGTCAGAGAATAGTTCGCATTATTCTTAACCAATCTGCTACTTTATCTCATCTTATGTTTTGCTTGGTTCCATCAATTTATTGATCGCTCAGTTCGTTAAATAGAGCCAAATTAGCAGATAAATTAATTTCATTGATATCGAGCAGCAACAGCAGTAGCCATAGCCAGTACTACTTATTGTTTGTTATTAGTATTGATATTATTATTATTATTATTATTATTACTATTACTATTATTATTACTATTAATATTATTACTATTAATATTATTACTATTAATATTATCATTATTTGCAGTTATAGAAGTATTAGTGTTTAAGCAATATTATTGTTCAATGCACTACTGTCATAATAATAGTACTAATGATGAAAATAATCGTTATTATTATTGTGTATGTTACATATATGTGTGAGTGACGAATGTAACTACAGTAGAATTAAATCCGTCTATGTAATCTTAGCTAACAACGAGGACGATACGTGAATCGGCCAATCATCATATATCGAACATCAGTAATTCACTAGAATAAGACGGTGTTCAACTAGCTGATTGGTGAACTGGTGGTGTGTCATTCAGCACGTGAACATTAATTTGTTCGACGCTAACTCAAACGGTGTTCAATTTTACTCTGTCTGCGTGTGCATCTTATCTATTGCATATCGTCAAATAACTGAAGCAGTGAACTCAGGTACTAACAGTTCGTCTGGACGAAGAGAGAAACTGAAGAGGGAAAGAGGAAAGCATGGATGAGCAACGACGTCCAATTATTGTCAATTCGTTATTGTGTTTCATTCATAATTATCGTGAACGACTTCGATCGGATCAACTCAGTAGTTTTATTCACTCATACTTCTCAAAAAGTGCCATCGAAAATGCTCACTCCACGCTTATCGACTTATTACCTCGTCTTGAAAACACCTTCATGCCTTCCTCAACTGCACTGGCACCACCATCAATACCTTCAGCTACACCTACAGATATGATAGATAAAGCAGCAGTGTCGAGTGCAAACACAGCCTTGGGTACAACCATATTAGATGCAGACATAGTAGCTTCAGCTACACCTACAGGGACTGCTACTACTCCAAAGTGTCAACTTAAAGCAACTGAAGGAGCAGCACAAGCATCTTCATCTGCTACGTCTTCATCTCTGTCCTCACCGTCGTCATCTCCAAAAAACTTGCCGTCTTCTGAATCTAAATCAGTAGCGGCATCTGAAAATATAACACTGTGTGCTGATAACGATGAGGATGCTGATTCAAAACATACTACGAGTGCTGGTAATGATAACAATCAAGATGTAACAAGCGCTATTGCTAATAACGAAAATAACCATATGGACGAACACAATATTTTATGCCTTTATGACCATATACTAAATTCTCGAAAAGCATCACTACCGATATTTGTTGCTGAAGAGCTGAACAGTCTACCGTTAGCGTTAATCATGGCAGATGATCATAATGGTGATGCCAGATACGAACTGTTATTGGCTGAGATTCGTCAGTTAAAGTGTTTCATTCATGATGCTTTACGACTAAACAACAACTATTTAGCTCATCAACGTTCTTGTTCGAATTGGTTTGTAGTTCATTTAATTAGTTGTTTATTCTTTATTTATCTATTATTTGATTTAAAGACACCAATAGTTTAATCGATACCATCATTGCGATGAAGTTGTTAGCAGACATTCATAATGTTACGAATTTGTCGATAAGAAAGGTACATTTGTGGAAAGAACTCCTGAATGAGTACCACCCAAGACGTTGATGCCTCATCAATAACTCCATCCTCAATTTTACTACTGTGCCAAGTAACTACTGTAAGATGTCTCTGTCCACTTCTTCTACTCACATGGTTGCTTGCTTGTGATTGTTGCTGTTATAAAATAAGATATGAAGAGCAGTGGAAATGCGCATAGGATTAGCTTAATGTGCTCTTATCAGTATGACACAGTGGTTAATATTAATAAGTGTAGCATTATTAATATAAAATCTTAATGAATAGTTCAGTGATAAGCCTTATCAATAGTATGATATAGGTTACTAGGATTACTATCAATGAGTACTGAAGTGATGCAATAAATTTGATAGTTTAATGAACTGCTGCGTTGACTCCGAATTTCTCGTTTACGAATCATCACCTTTTTACTTATTAGCATCATTGTTGTCGTTATTTTTTTTAAATCATGGTTATCATCATCTTCCTTCCCTTCTTCACCTCTTTTTTTTGTTGTTCTTCTTCAAATATCAGTCTCAAAGACAAGTTGTTCAACTATTACTTAGTCAACTAATTAATTAATTGAATCGTTTATTTTTTTCCAGAGGTATTACATAGTCAAGTGGTAGGTAAATTGTTTTATGCGTTACATTGTCTTTTTTGATAACTCAGTTTTGTTCTATGTTCAGTCGCAATACAGGAATAGAATGATACGGCAATTAATCAACTGATTTTTCATGAAATGAGAGTGGTGATAATAATGAAGATGATAATAATTAGTAAATTCCTATTGCTATTTTTCTTTCTCCGTTTCTTTCTTCCTTTCCTCCGTCTCATTCTTCATCTCAGTTTTCATGCTGAACTCTGCATCTCACCATCAAATAACTTCCTTGATGGACGTTATACTTCGACTTGAACTCGTTCTTCATACAATGCAACAGCATTGCTAGGTGGACGATAGACCATAGCGATTAATTAATTAATTAACTCATTGAAATCTCTTAAGATTATGGTTTTAATGTACTCCTCTCACAAATACATGTACTCAGCACTACACAATGATGACTTTAAGAAGCCTTCTGTTTGATTAGATTATATTTATTATGATTGATTCTATGAATGGTGATGATGATGAAACAATATCAGTATCAATTAGCATTTAGCCCTGAGGTATTTATGATAATTATTTGTTGCTTGCAGTGACATGACGTTATCCCGACCAACTTCATCGCGACGACAACAAACCGACGCTCAACGAACGCCACTCTCCTCATCATGCACATACACTTTCTCATCAAATTCAGCAACACCAACTTCATCACATCACAAAAAAAGGCCAAATCTGCAAATCAGTTCCTCTTGTTCTCAGTCTGTGTATTGTACCTATCCTCACTGCATTAATGATAGTTGTAACAGTAGTGATCACCGCCATCAACGACAGCTGAATGATATTAATATGTCATGCACATCGTCTCCAGAATCAGCAAAATTTATAACGGCATCGAATAGTTGTCATCCCACTATTACCACCGACCCTTGTGATTTTTCGTCGCCGATGACTTCGGATACTTCTTCGTGTTCAACCGGTAGCAGCAATACCGCCGCTTCACCGTCTTCATGTTCGTTGACCTCTGCAGATACTTCCCGACGACTAGCCACGGTTGTTAGTATCGCACCAGTTGCGTCAACTTCTGAAGCAGTAACCACAGCAAGTAATGCTTCAGCAGCACAGCTTCATTCATCATCTGCGCTGTCACCACTATTATGTTGTTGCTCATCATCTTCTGTATATTCTTCAACCCCAACATCCAATTCGTCTACCATGTGCGACACGTCCAGTCATCGTAATTCTACTCTGTCAACAACATCCTCCTCTTTTTCGTCCTACTGCACATCACCTAGTCATAATCATTACCACCAACACCATCATCATCCTCATGATCATCATTTTGAACATGCTCATCGTACACCTGCTGGTGGTCTTCGTGACGTTTTGCTTTCAAATGTACCACGTGCTCTTCATCAAACAAACAGCACTGAGGATAATAATGTAATTAATGGATTGATAACGAATAATCGAGCAACAACAGTTAACACTCATTGCAACAATAAACATCATCTTCATCTCAGCTGCACTGATAACAATAATGCTACTAATAATGATAGTATTGGTATTAGTAACGGTGGTGATGATTCAGATCATGAGCATAACAGCAGCAGTAGCAGTAGCGGCTCTTCGACCGCAAATGAAACTGTGACAGATCAGCAAACGGAAGTCAATAATGCAACAACAGCAACAAATTTCTTATCGTCGTCTTCATCATTTAGTGATAATACTACTAATAATAGTAATGATAATAACAATAATAATTGCACAGACAGTAGCAGTAATGATGATGGTGTAAAAAATCATTTGTGTTTACAACAAAAGAAACGATGTTTGATTGGAGGATTAAGTGGTGCAGTGAATGGTGGTAGTCGTTTAGATGCAACTGTACGTAAACTGCGCAGATTAGCCGATAAACATCAAACTCAAATTGCTAGTGCTCCTATAAAAACAACTTGTGATGATAGATTATCATCGCAGAATTATGCGGTCACTAATAATGTCAGTGATAATGATAATCGATCTTCACCAACAACCTTATCAGCGCCACCTTCAGTAGCAGCAGCATCCTCATCAACAGCCGCAGCAACAACAACCAAATTACCGTCCTCCTCTTCATCATCATCTCTAGCCAAAGTGAGTCATCGCACTGCTAGTCCAACTTTCATTAACAATCACAATCGCAGTGGTACTAACAGTCAGGCATCCATTACCAGTAATAGCAATGTATGGCCAGCACAAATCGTTGATCCAATAGCGTACATAAATATGTTGCGTACAATGACTATGTCTGCGATGTCGTCTGTAGTCGTTAATAATAATAATCATCCACAAACCTCTATATTTCCTCAGACCCAAGCTCAAGCAGCTCAGGCTGCTGCAATCACGTCTGCCGCAGCTGCAGCAAAAAGTATTTTACTGGCCACAGACCACCATCATAATTCTTCAGTAGTATGGTTAGTTGATTTATTGAATTTTGTTTGTTTGTTCATTTATTTGTTTATTCGTTTACTCATCGCTTCTTTATCGGCTTTTTGTTTACCCTCACTTCACATTTTATGATTAATTTTGTTGATCTTGTTGTTGTTGTTGTTTTTGTTCTTGTTGTTGTTGTCGTCGTCGTCGTTGATGTTTATTTATGAGATAAACTAAAGGATGAGTATGTAACTGCTACATATGCATAAATATATGAGTACATATAAAAAACAGTTGCTGATCAGCTACTTTTGAGTGTATTGCATGGAAATAAGTATCATCACCTTGCACAGAAAGCGATATCATCGTTGAATTATTTATTCTTCTTCAATTTGATTTCAGTGAAACGAAATCGTATTCATCTATTTCTTTACTTATTTATTTCTCTTTTGTTCATCAACATCGTTTTTTCGTCTTCAGTCAACTCTTTCTCTTCGTTTCCTCGTTCCCATGCTACGAGAGCAGCAGCTAACGGAATAAGTTGTATGCTACCTAGAAACATTATGCGCTCATAAACATGTGCAAATACCTTACATTCGTATTTGTTGCTGTTTAATGAGTGATCTTTGTCAGTAAATGAAATTCTTTTCACTGTAAATGAATGAACGAAGAAATTATTCACTAATTTGCTCATTTATTTACCATGAAAGGAAATCAAATTAAGTCGAGTCGATTCCATTGCAATCAAAACCACATCATTGACTCTTTTCCTCATCTCATTTCATCATCACTGTTATCATCATCATCATTACAATGCGCGATGGTGTTTAAGAAGTCTTTCGTTTAAGAACATTACAGCAATATTTAATCGAATCGTGCTGTCTTATTGATGGTGATTTATTTCGTTTCATTACACAAGAAATGTTGCTGCTGCAGAATGAATGAATACAAATTCATGAAGTTTATACTGAACTGTGCCTAGTCAAACAAGTGATAAAACAAGCGTTATGGGGTAGGGTGCATATGAGGATAGTTTTATAATCGATCATGATCATTTCGTGATCGTTTGTTTCATTCGTCTGTATGGTTGGCTTACTGCGATGAACAACTACAGATATATAGCTTCGTGGGTAAACAAACAAGAAGATAGGTAGGTGGATGGTAGGTGTAGATGGGCATTGTGGAAAAGATGATGAGTGATAAAATTGCAATTCAGGTCATTTTTGTGAAATGACATCTGTTTTACGTTGTGTCAT